GGTCGTATCTCGAAAATTTCGTAAGTAGGGGCGTTCGTAAGTAGAGGTACCACTGTACATCATAATAAGTGTTAATGATAATAAGCTATGGAAAACCTTGACTCATGTACTCTCTTTTGCCCTCTTCTTTAATGCAAATACAAGGATTGGGCAAGGATCATATCCTCCAAAGGATGAATTATGTAGATGCTGTCCCGTTCACTTACAAAGTAAAAAACAAAGTTACAACTATATGTAGGATTCCTACATGTATATGGGATTCAGGAGATGGAACAGTTTCCTGCATCTCATTTCAGCCAAGGAATCTGGGCTGAAAGGGTAATTTGGATTTGATCCAAAATCGAATCAGCTCTTCTCTGAAGCCCCGAAGCCAATACTATAATAATACATCTATAAACAATAGTTTATTATTATATACATGCATATTACTGTATACTATAATATATTGCTATATACCATAGTATACTATTATACTGTCAATCAAAATAATGCATTGTCCTAATATGGAAAACAGTAGGGCTGAACATATGATTTGGAAGAAAAGTTTTGGATCTCTTCTGAGCCAAGTATTTCTCTCATCCGACTTTTAAGGGTTTTGCACAAGCCTGAGAAAAAGATGCTACCGCTTTGAAGAATCCATTTCATTCAGACAGAGGCCTGAAAGTCGAGGGGCTGCTTCAAGGAGAAGCAGAGAGGGGCTGCGCTCATCTGAGGTCCAAAGCACTTCTTTCGAATCTGTGCTGAAACAGGCACATCATTGGTGATCTGAGGAATGGCATTCTGGCAAATCATATGTTTAGAGATGCTTTCTTACTTTACCTGTATGTAGGGCAAAGCGGGATGCCTTCACACTCTCTTTCTTCAAATAAGGTGTCTGGGCATTCCAGTCCTCCATTAATTGCATCTTGAATGATGATCCTGTAGCGGGACTGTTTTTTTGCCGTAGCATTACCTGAGGTTTTTTTTAAGTGTATAAAAATGGTTTTCTATCAAAGTTAGTTAATTTTGTGCATTACTGATCTTCACTTTTATTTCTGAAGTATCTAACTTAAAACCCTGTCTCCTGTCATATTGCTTTTAATAAAGAATATTATGGAATTTTTATTTGTTGCGGCCTTGACAATTCTTTGCTCCAATGGATCAGGCCCAGAAAAGAGCTGATTATGGGAAAGCCTCTGTATAGCAAACACTGCCCCTTCCTACTCCCATAACTGTTCATAAAAATAAAACATCCATGACCATTTTCAGGTTTGGGGTAACTATTTGCACACACATGGCTTAATATGAAATTATTTGAAACAAGCGGCTGGTGAGCAAAAATATTACAGCAGAGAAGACAGAAAGAAAAAAGAATGTGTGGGAACTAGAATAACAGTTTTGTTCCTTCTGACGTCTTATAGTATGGAAGGGCTTTGTCTCTGTGGAATAAGTATTCAAGGAAAATAAAGAGAGAAAGTTCCATTTCATATATTTGGGTCATCTGGCATGGTTTTAAAAGAAGCATCAGCAATCCACTTAAGACAATGCAACAGATATTCTTGGCTAATGCAATTCACAAAAATTAACTCTGGGTATTAAGGTTTAGTTAAACAATGCTGCTTTGTTCTCCAGTTTTACTCTAATTCTTTAAATGTCTCCTTATTTTTTTTTAACAAAGACCATATTACATTAAAC